ACCACCACCATCAACAACAACACCAACAACCGGGACAAGGACAACAGGGCCACCAGGGACAACAAGTCCAACTCCAACACCAGGGCCAAAAACACCACCACCTTTGTCTTTCCTCCGGCTCACGGAAGAGACCCGCCCGAAACCCCCGCCGGGGGGAGACCAAGCGCCCCCCCGTCCCCCCCCCCCCCCGCGCTTCCATCGGGCGCCCACTTGCACTTCACCACGCCGCCCCCGTCGTGGGCGATGCCGTACGCCAGCTCGAACATGCTGCTGCCGCCGACAACAGCCTCCTCAGCCTTCCTCCTCGCCTCCCTCGCCGCCGCCCTTGCCTTCTTCGCCGCCGCTTCCGCCGCCGCCCTCTCCTCCTTCTTCCTCTTCGCTTCTGCGGCGGCGGCTTTGGCCTTGGACTCCTCCTCTAGTTTCTCCGCGGCCGCCGCCTTGGCCTTGGCTGTTGCCATAGCTGCCGCTGTTGCTTTCGTCGGACGCCCGAGCTTCTTGACAGGCATGTTGTCGGTCTCGGGCGGGGGGTCTTTGGCTGCTGTTGTGGCCTTGGCTTTGGGGGTTGTCTTGGGGGTTGTTTTGGAGGCTGTTTTGGGGGTGGGAGTTGTAGCGGTGCCGGGCTTGGGAGGCCTTGATGGAGTCAGCACGGAGCACACGTCTTTTGCACGCCAGATCTGTTGTGTGCGTAGGGGACAGAGAGAGAGAGAGAGACAGATTCAACGTAGATAGAGAGAGAGACAGGCAGGTAGACAGACAGAGAGAGACAGATAAACACACAGAGAGAGAGGTAAGCAGGTAGACAGACAGACAGACAGACAGACAGAGAGACAGACAGACAGACAGACAGACAGACAGAGAGACAGAGAGACAGAGAGAGACACACACACAGGGAGAGAGAGAAAGAGGGAGAGAGAGAGAGAGAGAGAGAGAGAGAGAGACAGACAGACAGACAGAGACGGAGAGAAAGAGGTACAGACAGATAAGACAGCGAGCTAGATGGACCGACACTGCTACATAAAAAGGGGCAGAAAAGCGAGGCGTACTCGCTCGAGTCGTCCTTTTGCTACACCCCGTTCCGGCCAATCAAAACCAGAACGCATGTGACATCTTCATCATCACGTAAAACTTCCTTGCACCACCCCGGGAAAGGAAAAAAACTGGAGAAGAAATCACACAAAAAAAAATGGAAAATCTATCTAACGACGTGAAAGGATAGACACGAAAGGCGAGTGACGGGTGAACAGGAAAACGGTAGGACGCAGACAATATTACCTGGAGGAGGGCCGGTCCCGTAGTGCGCTTGCCGACGAGGGGGAGGGGAGAGGGTTGACCATGATTGTACGGCACCCCCGAAGAAAACACGTCCGCCTATCAAGAGGCGTAGGAACAACCGATGGGGCGGGTGGAGGTGGGAGACAGAACACGACACGGGAGGGTGGGTCCAGGGGTCTGGCTTGTTGTGCGTTCGGAGGACAACCAAACAGGAAGAAAGATTGTGTGTGTTTGTGGAGGATATCCAAAACACGAAGACGTTGTGTGTGTTCGGAGGACAACCGGAACAGGGAGGAGAGGCCAACACCCCGGGGGACGTTTCGACCCTCAGAAACATACTAGAAAAACAGCGGCGAGGGGAAAGATTTGCGGTCGGTTGACGTACCATGTTTTGTGAATTATCACACGAGCCAATACCTGTTAACCTTAACCCAGAACTACCGTCCGGATCCTTGCACTCAAAAACACCACTTCATCTCCATATGACGATACTACCGAGTCCACTCCAGAGCCTCCCCACCCAACATCTCTCGTGACCCCCCCCCCCCCCCCCCC